CAGGATGGCCGGAGCACCCCCAGGACACCCCAGGATGGCCGGAGCACCCCAGGATGGCCGGAGCACCCCAGGACAGCTCAGAATGGCCGGAGCACCCCAGGATGACCACAGCACCCACGGGATCACCAGGACACCCCCGGAGGTGGCAGGGACAAGAGCGGCGCCGCACGACGCGCCCATCGCGGGATGGGGTGGACAATCGGACGCTTGACCAATGGGTGCTTGGCCAACCGGACGCTTGACCAATGGCAACCTTGAGCAACAGAGCATTGGCCAACGGGTGGTCAGCCAGCTGGAGACTCAGCCAATGGAAGGGTGGCCAACGGTAGCTCCAACCACGGCTTTGGCCAACGGAAAATTCGGTCAACACAAGATGAAAACAAGCTGGACACTCGGCCAATGGAAAATTTGGTCAAGTGGAGAACTGACCAATGGAAAATTTGGTCAAGTGGAGAACTGACCAATGGAAAATTTGGTCATCTGGAGAAGTGACCAACAGAAAATTTGGTCATCTGGACAATCGGCCAATGATAGAGCTCTTCTACAGTCTTGGTCAACCACACCCTTGGCCAACTGAAGCCTTGGTCAACTGAAGGCTGACCACGGTAGCCCTGGCCAATGGTAGCCGTGGTTGCCTACGGTTTGGCCACCTGGAGTATTGGTCAACGGTAGCCTTGGTCAGCAGTAGGTTGGCCAACTGGACCTTGGCAAACTGGACCTTGGCCAACTGGAACTTTGGCCAGCTGGAACCTTGACCAACCGCAGTCTCGGCTCTGCCTGTGCTTTGGCTACCTGAGGCCTTGGCCAGTGGTCAGCTGGCCGACAGTAGTCTTGGTTGCCTGTGGTTTGGCCAGTTGGAACCTTGGTCAATGGTAGCCTTGGCCAAGGGTAGCTCTACCCACAGCCTTGGCCACCTGAAGCCTTGGCCAATGGCAGGCTGGACAACAGCACCACTGGCCAATGGTAGCCGTGGCTGCCTACAGTCTGGCCACCGACTGCAGCTCTGACTACGCTTTGGCCACCACGTGCAGCCCTCGGCCACCGAGGGCAGCTCGGCCCGTACCTCGGCTACCCCGAACCTTGGCCACCACCTGTGCTTTGGCCACCTGCAGCCCTGGCTGCCTAGAGCTTGACCACCTTGTCACCTGGGCAATTGATAGCCATGGCTACTGCTGCCTTTAGCCTTGGCTACCTAAAGCTGTTCCACTTGTAGCCTCGGCCACCTCCACGTATAGTTTGGCCACGTGTAGCCTTCATCACCTGTCCATTTGGCCACCTACACCTCGGCCTTGACCACTGGTAGCCCTGTCCACCTACGATTTGGCCACCCAATAGTCTTGACCACCCGAGCCCTTTCCACCTGTCCTCTTGACCACTGGTAACCTTGGCTACCAGCAGCTTTGGCCACCTGTATGTTGACCATTGGTAGCCTTGACCACCTGAACCCTTTCCACCTGTACCTTGACCACCGGTAGCTTTGGCCACCTACACCTTGACCACTGGTAACCTTGGCTACCAGCAGCTTTGGCCACCTGTACCTTGACCACCGGTAGCTTTGGTCACCTACACCTTGACCA